CACACACATAACCACTCTCTCACATCTCGTGCACCCATGCTCGTGCCCCCACAAGCTTACAGTTATGAGCCCGGATATCGCTTAATCCGTCAAATTATCACACACATAACCACTCTCTCACATCTCGTGCACCCATGCTCGTGCCCCCACAAGCTTACAGATGGTCACAAAATAGAACACTAGGTTTCGGATCGTAGATATTACGGTCGTTACGATTTGAATCCGGGATGCGGGTAGAATAGAGCCATCTGGATACCATCAGCCTGAAAACCATAATAAAGCATTGGTAACGTCCCCCCCTGGGTGGCGCACAACCCACCGTGCCGCACCAAATATATTGTTTAGGCATCTCACTCTCCCCCTCGCGATTCTATTGAGTTATAATTAGTGTGTTATAATTCTTTAGCCATTTCTGCCTAGGAAATTAGTACGCAGCCAAAAAAATACATCGCTTTGATCATACTGTTGATCGTTCCTTTCAGAGCATGTGGAACTACATTAGCGTTGCATCCCTACTGCACCACGACTGTTTACAAAATTTTAAAATTCGGAGCACTAAATTGATAGTTTCAGGACGAAAGAAGATATTTTTGAATTTTGAGAGCACTAAGCCCTTAGAAGGATATATTCCGGATTTATCCGCGCGAAGGTGTCCATAAGGTATCTTGGCATGAGTGTTTAGCGCGGTATTAGATACCAGCCAGCTGTATTGTATTCTACGCTATGCCTAACTAACTCAACATGTGGCGCTCTTCCAGAAACATTTATGTACGGTCACGTGCTGGCTATTTTTGGCCGTTTATTGTTGCCACCTGTCTATCGTGCCTCTCCCATTCGTGCCTCCATCGCGAGCCAGCCAGGTACTGCGCAAGGTCTCCCTCCAGATGTACCTAGAACATATGCTGCCCTATCAGAACATGCAGCTGGCGATGTCCCTTCCAGTACGCTCGGACGCAGTCAGGCCCCAGCCCACACGCGGCGCGGACGTGGCAGGCGGCGCTGGGGCCTGACTGCGTCTGCGCCATGATTGGCGGCGCTGCGCGATTCTGAGCAGACATGCGAGCTCAGCTGAGCCGGCAGCGTCAACACAGGCTGCCCAGAACGATGGAACCCAGCAACTCTCACGAATCTTCAGCATAGGGGAGATCGTTGAGTCCTGCACTCGAACCATGGCGGCCTCTAGATGGCAGCGGCTGAACCCATTCCAGAAGGATCGTCAGGACTCTGTACTTATCGACCCACTATTCTACCTCTATCAGGCTGACGCTGTAGCAGGCTGGCAGCTTATCAAAGCCGCAAGAACCGTCTAAGGCATCTGTCCATGGCCTCAAGATCGTGGCAGAGGGAGAGCAGCCGGTAGTGGAGTAAGCCATCCGTAACATCACAAGAGTCTGTACTAACAGTGCCTAGCATTGTTGCCGTCCATGGCTTGAACGGACACCGCGACGAGACGTGGACGGCAGCGAACGGCACCCACTGGCTCCGCGATCTCCTACCAAATGACATCCCAAATGCGCGCATATTCTGCTGGGGATACGATGCGAACACGCACGGCAAGCGCGTTAGCCACCAATTCCTCCACGATCATGCAGAGCAGCTAGTGTCCGACCTCTGCCTCAGGAGAAAGCGTACAAATGTGAGATAAGAGCGGAACATTGATAAGATGTGGTTCTGACAGTGGAAGACCATGAAACGACCAATAATCTTTGTGGCGCACAGTCTGGGTGGCATCATCGTCAAAGGCGTCAGTCTTGCTCCTCTCTATCGTATGCATAGCTGATCGGGCCCAGGCTCTCATTCACTCGGACGCGGCGCGGAAAGGCGCACTAGAAGAACATCGGTCGATTAAGACGTCGACGTACGGAATCATGTTCATGGGCACACCTCACCAGGGCGGCAACGGAGTGCAGTTCGGAAAGCTGCTGGTGAATACGGCATCGGTATACAAGGATACCAACAGCCGGCTGCTAGAGCATTTGGAGCGAGACTCGGAATGGCTCCAGCAGCAGCTTAGACAGTACGGGCCAATCAGTGGGGAGTTTATGACGAAGTTTGCGTACGAGGAGTACGAGACTCCGACAGTGCTGGGTCATTCAATCATGGTATACCTTCACGTTGACCACAGATATCGCGAGTACTGATGATACAGGTGGTGCCAAAAGCATCTGCGGTCGTCCCAGGCGCAGCCGACGCTGAGCAGATCATGATCCACGCGGACCACAAAGAAATGGTCAAGTTTGAGTCAAAAGAGGATAATGACTATGAGAAAGTTTCAGACCATTTAACTATTATGGTTGAAAGTGCAGGTAGCGTTATCGGCCTACGGTGGGAAGAAGAGGTTAGGGTTGATGCGGGTATGTAGCCCCAGTATGTGGTTGTCAATAACAGCAATGACGGTAACTGTCTATAGGTCGAAGCAATCTTGAAGAGAGCTTTTCTGTCGTCTTGAGCTTGTCTGAGGCCTCTGAGACCGATAACTTTGTTGCGAGACAAGCGGAGCTCGCTACAATGCACAAGGCGCTCAGCGAGGGCACCGGTCGTCAAGCAGTCACTCTGCACGGCCTAGGCGGGATCGGGAAAACGCAGCTGGCGATTGCATACGCCAAGGCCCATCGAGACAACTATTCGGCGATATTCTGGCTGAACATTAAAGACGAAGTGTCAGTGAAGCAGAGCTACTCGCGGCTAGCAAAGCGGATCTTGCAGGACTGCCCATCAGCCAGCCAGTTAGGTGTTTTCATAGATGACGAGAAGCAAGATGAAGTGGTAGCAGCGGTCAAACGGTGGCTGGAGCATGCCAAGAACACGCAGTGGTTAATGGTATTTGATAACTACGACAACCCTAAGGTGGCAGGCAATGCGGATCCTGGTGTAGTTGATATCCGGCAGTTTCTGCCCGAAGCACACCATGGCTCGGTAATCGTTACGACAAGGTCATCGAAGGTCAGTATGGGCCGTCGCGTGAAGGTAGACAAGTTAGAAGACGTCCGCGACAGTCTGCAGATCCTGTCTGATGCATCGCATCGCGAGGGTGTGATAGACGGTGAGTTGTTTGAAATCATGTACTCTACTGCGCTGTAGACGCAACGCTCACGCTTCCAGATCCCAATGCCGTCAAGCTTGCTAGAGAGCTGGATGGACTGCCATTAGCCTTGGCTACGGCGGGCGCCTACCTTGATCAGGCGGCAACAAGCTTTGCTGACTACCTTGGTCTATACCGGGCGTCATGGCGAAGGTTGCAACAAATAAGCCCTAAAGTAAGCACATACGAAGACCGGCAACTGTACTCAACATGGCAGCTATCTTTAGATCACATTAAGCAGCAGAACGAAACATCATCCAAGCTGCTTCAGCTGTGGGCATACTTTGACAACCAGGACATCTGGTTTGAGCTTCTGAGAGAAGGGAGGACTAATGGGCCGCAATGGCTTTGTCAACTAACAGAGGACGAGCTGATTTTTACCGAGGCAATGAGGTTGCTATGCGACTACGGGTTAGTAGATGTGGACGAGTCCTCTAAAGATAATGCAGTTGAGTCTCAAGGGTATAGGATGCACAGCTGTGTGCACTCATGGACGGTCCATGTAGTCAACCAAGAATGGGATTCTGAGATGGCTGGGGTGGCTGTGGATTGTGTAGTCAGACATGCACCGGAGAAGGATGTGCAGCACTCGTGGCTGACTCAGCGTCGGCTTCTGCGACACTTGATAAGGTGTTGGGGGTTTATTATTAACGGCAGGTTAGATGAGGATGGGAAGTACTGGATTCTGCATAACTTCGGGGAAGTTTGTTCAAATCAGGGACGGTTTGACGAGGCGGAGAGGATGTACTTGCGAGCGCTGCAACGCAAAGAGAAGGCATTGGGACCAGACCATACATCAACACTCGACACGGTCAACAACTTGGGCA